TTGGTAAAAATTAACATATGAAAATCATTAGAATAGATTTATTCAGCTTCTTATTATATCTTTAATTAAATCCCAAAAGAGGTAAAACTAAGAAGATATTCCACTTTTCTATCCTCACTATGACCAAGGTACATTATCTCCATTCTAGAATATTGAACATTTTATCTAAGGGGCAAAAGAATACAGAACTATAGCAAAATATGATTGAGATATACCCAAAACCTTCCTTTTTGATGTAATAATTAATCGTTTTCCAAATGCATTTATCTTCCATTACTATAAGATGCAGAAATAAACTCAAAGACATTTGGGTAATTCTATGTATTACATCAACTGTAACACCAAAGTATGCTCCTTTACCCATCTGAGTATCTATTTCACATTTATATAAATAAAAATAGTTTTTCATTACTTATTCCATGTGAAAATTTTAAAAAATACCTATGTTATGGTATCAAGTAATCTGAGGGCAAAATTTTATCTAGCAAACCAAAATCTATGCTCTAATACTCCCATTGCCTTTGTCTTATGGAGGACTTTGAAAACTTAGTGACAACAAAAAAAGACAAAACAACAAAAAATTGGGATTCTGCAGTTCAAGAAATTGAGTTCTCAGCTAAATCCTAACCTGAATATTCTCATATTCCATGCAGATAACTGTTTAATGTTAATCTTACATTATAAAAAAGAAACTTAGTTATTAAATATAAATGTATAATAAGGCTACCTTATCAACATATTTCAGTATATGGTGTTTGAAGTTCTACAAAAATCACTAAGATGGCCTCTACAATAGTTAAAATATTGCAGGCCAATCACATATGATTTAATACCTATAACTGGAAAATCTGGCCTGAAAATCTTAGGACTAAGGAAGGATGAATTTAAAATACATCAATTTTGTAAACAAAGATATTTTCAATTGATAAATACAAAGATAAATAAATCAAAAATTTTAAACCACAGTATTCTTTTATGCTTTGCACATTCTATTTCCTCACTTTGAATTTGTTGTCCCTACCACTTGCCTTTTGATTTCTTTCTCATTCCTTAAATAACATAACCTCTGTCATTGAGAATGATGTAGTCTGATGGGAGTGGGGAGAATCATTAATCAAATAATAACTTCACAAATAGGTGCAAACTTATAACTCTAAGAGGTTCTTTGAAGGAATAATTATATGAGTGAATAACAGGCCTGACTTAGACTTGAAGGGTCAGAGACAGCCTTCCTGAGGAAGAGGAGTTGGACCACAGAGCTGAAGGATTAGTATGAGTTAACCCGGCATTAAGGAGGTAAAAAAAAAAAAAAAAAAAAAAAAATTAACGGAAGGTAACAAAGTCACGGAAGAATTAGTGAAAATGAGCAAATTGCCTTTGAGAAATTGGAAGGAAGTCAGTGTGGCTAGTGCAAAGTGGATAGGAGAAAACATAGTTTAACATGTGTCCAGAGAGATAATAGGGGCAAAACCATGCAGGATCTTAAGCTACTATAAAAACTTTGTCTTAAAGAAAACTACTGAAGTATTTCAAGTGTAGGTGTTGGGGTTAGGTGGGGCCTGAGGAGAGGTGTGTGAAACAACCAGATTTGCATTCACATGGCTAAAATCAAAACCATATACAAAGTCATTCATTAAATTTAATAATAAAGTTCTAACCAGATATGTTTATAGATTGGAGGGAAAGAAAACAGAGAGATATAAATGATTTTACAAGATAAGTCTGGTTGCCATTTCTATAACTAATTTTTGATAGATTAGAATTGGGTAGTGAATAGAAAGGAGATGTTAAGATTGATTCTTAGAATTCTGGCCTGTCAAATATATTTCTAAAACACTTAGATCTTCACTTAAAAGTTTGGGGATAGCAGGATAAGATCATAGAATGGGTTAGAGCAGTGATTGAGAACTGAAATGCACAAGAATGTTTAAAACATGCAATACCTGACTATTTACTCAGGGGCACTGGCTTTTTATCCCTTAAATCTTCAAATGAAAACTGACAGCTAACACAACAATAGCCATCTGATGTGAATGAACCAAAAGTATATCCATTTTTTGTTAGATTGACAAATATATGTGGGTGTGTGTGCGTGCATGTGTGCAGCAGAACTTTAGTAATTAGTTTATGTATGCCATGAGATGAAAAAGGTTGAAAATCTCTGGTTTAGCTTTATGGTGGAATTTTATAAGACACTATGCACATACATTTACTTGCATGTGCATCCTATCTAAGAAAGAGGGAATATGCAAATTGACCATCACACCATCACAAAGATGGCTGTGCCCACAGCGCAGAGGCAGGGTTTCCGTAACACAAGATGGCTGCATCCAAAGCGGAGGCCGAATTCCCGTAACGAGCCTTAACAAGCATTCAGCAGGGACCTGAGGCTGTGTACCACTGGGCCGAGGCAAGGATCCTGAGGCTGCGCCTCCCTGCTCAGTGGGGCTTGACATGGGCCTGAGGCTGTGCACCCCACCCAGGGGGCTTGACAGGGGTAGGGCTAGCCGGGTCTGGATCTAGCCCAGTGAGAGTGGGGCCAGCTCAGTCTGTGTCTCACGCAATTTTGCGGTGCCATGGGTGGGCAGGGACTTGATTCTGGGTCCCGCAATGCGCCCCAGACTCTGATGAAAGGAAGATTTTCATATACATTTTATTAATTTTCTTTCATATCTGACACCACACTTCTATTATAAAGAAAGGGCAAATAGCAATATTAAAATATTACCTCTAATTAATCCCCTTTTAATGTGCATGAATTTCATGCACTGGACCACTAGTATAGATATAGGGAATAGCTGTGATGCCTTAGTTCTCTAAAGCGAACCTTCAACACTTATTCATTCATTCAGTGAGATGTTATTTATAGAATAAACATTTGGACTTCCTCATAATGTGGCCAAATATTATTTCTACTTTGGAAAACACCAAGAAGCACTATTCATATAGACTCATTACATTCTATACAATAGCCTTCATGATCCTACAGCTTTGTTCCTACTACCAGGGGGGAGTAATAAACACACTGAGACAGAGTCCAGTTTAGTGACCTCCTTTTCTAGGTGTAGACTCTACTGCTTACCAATTGTATCTCAATTAAGTCTCTTTTCAATTATTAAGGGAAGAGTGTGAGAAGAGAAAAGCATGTATTTAATGCTTGCACTAAGAAACATGCCATCAGGAAACTACTTCCCCAATATATTTTCATCATAAAGTTATTATTTTAATCCCAGCAGTAATAAAAAAATGTATCCTCAAAAAATGCAGATGTCTTTTATACAATCTGAAGGAAGATAAAGGTCATTGTGCTCTGAACTAAAGTGACCACATATTCTTCAAAATTACATAAACAACTAATCAAATAGAGCATGCTGCTTTATAATACTAGCGAACACTTTTTTAGAAATAATAAGATTATGTTATAAATATTTTAGAGAAAGTATTGTAAATATTTTAGAGAAAGGAATTAAATATATTCAATGGGTTATATTTGTTTCCACAATTGCATATATCCTCACCTTACACTGAGGAGGCTGCTAAAAAAAAGTTAAGGTAAAGTTAGTTAGAACTTTCCTTTAAATCCAATCCTGAATAAAAAATAATTCATTTCCCTGACAATCTTAAAAGCATTCAGAAACATAATTTTTATTTAATGAAACTTTGTGTTTATATGTGTTCATGCATGTGTGCATGCATGTGTGTGTGTGTGTGTGTCTATAATTGTAGATTACATGACAAAACAACAACCACACACTTAAATACAGGAGACACAATACATATGAACTGATGCTGAAAAAGGAAATTTAAAAATGGTGCAATATATTTCTAGAGAGAAATAATTAAGCAGCATCACTATGATTTATAGGTAACATCCCTAGTTTTGTTTCCCTGGATTTATAATCAATCTACATTCAGGCCTGAACAAACTTGAACAAGCCTGATTCACGTTATATATTGGATTTAGCACACACACACACAAAATGCACCTGAAGCTACCAAGTGGAACTAGGGTGACTTCTCAATATTTGGTTTTCTTCTTAATACACATTAACTTTCATTACCTACTTAGTACGTGCATATCATGATGAAAGCAAGTGCAGGTTCATAAGGATGAATGATTTTTTTAAGAAAAAAAAAAATCTTCCTTCTAAACTGTTCTTCACTTTCACATAAAGTACTAACCTCTTCCAAAAAAGCTACTGATAAAAATCCAAATTTAAAAGGGCAACTCACTACATTGTGGGCACAATGAGAGTATTTTCAAATGAAGAGGGAAAATGTATGATCAAGTTTCGATTTAAAATAAAATTTAAAAAAAGAATCTCCAAGTGCAAATTGCTTTGAAATAATCTTTTTGTATTAGCTCTATCTCCAAGCAGTTGTTTTCTTGGCTCTACTTCTTATGTATCTAAAAATGACCTGTAAATGCTTAAACACAAACATGCAATAGCAATTAGATGTAAACAACACAGTAAACTAAGCCCTGCCATTTACAGAGATTTCCCTATGGAGTTCATATGGCTGAACTTATTACTGAAGAATTTTTAAAAGTATGCCCAAACAAGTCTCATCTAAGATTTCCATTTGAATTTTATAAAGAAGTAAAAGTATCACTTCCTCTTCATGGAGAGAAAATAACAGCAGAGTAGCAGATGATGATCATACAAATAAAGTTATATACAAAGAGATAATTCCTTGATTTGAATTGTTCAAAAATAAAACTTCTGAAACTTCTGAAAGCAAAATGAATATGAAATATTACACTGCATGTAAGACACTTTCTGAGTATTAACTATGTATAGCCAATAAAATAGAACATTAAATCTTTCATCGTTGCCAGCAATTTTAAAATTCTGAGAAGAGAAATATCAGACTGAAAAGAAATCATCTCCATAAATTAGCAAAGTAAAAGGTCACCCGCTCATAATCATTGGAGGAAATACATATACAGGATCCACCTGAAGCAGACAGCACCTGAGGATGCACAGGCAAGCCCTTACCTTCACAGGTGCCGTTTTTCTCTTCATATCCTGCCTTGCACATGCATTTCCCGATGGGCACCAGCCACTCCCCTTCAGCGCTGCAATGCATTTTGGGTGGTTCCTCTGTCACCGAATGGTTGACACAAGAGCCCGTTACTTCCAGCAACTGCGAAGAATCAGCTCCAGTGATGGTGTCAGGGAAGACAGCCAGGTGTCGTACCACAGAAGGACATTTCTTATAGTACACGCGCACAGAAACCAGGGCGATGCAAGCACCCAGGTCTTGAAAGGCAAGATAAAATCCCGTTTTGCTTAGAGGTCCGACATCTCTAACCTCCGTATTCAGTTTCATGACACGGTCCCCAAGATCAAGTTCTGTGAAGCTTTCATCAGCGGCAATGGTATCGATTTTGATGTATTGGTTTTCCTTGACATTTCTCCCATTCTCATCATCTGACTCAAAGTAATACATGTTGAAAGTTTCCTTACAGGTCCCCAGTCCTCCAGGAAGGCTGTTGCAGTCCCGCAGAGTAAACTTCAGTTCTATGAAGATTCTGGAAGCACCTTCGTTAGAGATCCAACTGGTCAGAAGCCAGTTATTCTGATTCTGTTCCATAACTTTGCATACTTGGTATGTGTGGATAGGGGCATAATTTTCATCAACTTCACCAATCTCTTCCCACTGTATAATATAAAATAGAAAGACATGTTTAAAAATTAGATAATAACCAGAAAAAATAATCAAAAAATGCAGATGTGCAAATTTCTGCATACTTGATGTATAGTATTGAGAGGAGGAGCTATATAGCAAGGATAAAAAAATACTGTTGCCTTTATAGAATTAACTAAAATAGTAATTTATGATCCCCAGTGTAACTCATCGGTGAACACATATGAATAATATTACCCAGAAAACAACAACAACATGTATTTCAGCGTAAAAATAAAAGATAGTTCAATGTGTATGCAGTTAACAACAAGGAACAGTGAAAGAAAAAGATGTATATTTGGAAGAAAATATATAGCCTAAGAGGTACATAAAGTCTTAGAGTTAAAAGAAACAATATCATTTGAAAGACACTAATGAGAAAATAGTAGTAAATGAGGAAAAGAAGAAAGGAAAATGTGACAAGTAAAGTCACACTTAGGTAATTCTGGCATGTGACAAATAACACATGATGTAATAAAACTTGAAAAAAAGTCATTAGCTTACAGTTAATAATGCATCTTTATTTCTTTGAACCAATCTGTGTTGGACTTTTTTACAAATTGGATAACTAAATGTTTATTCATAAATTTATCCACTAATATAACCTAGAGACATATAATATAGAGGTAAAATTACAGATTAGTAATATGCAGAGCCTTGTCATCTCAGATACTGATGTGCCTTTATATCCTGGGAATGCATTAATTCTTTTTTACCAAGGCATCATTTTATGCATGACCTTAAGAGTTCTAAGTATATACAGAATGTAGAAAAATTAAGTATAATTTATAAAGCTTCAAAAATATTATTTGGTCAAAGAAGAGATTTAAGCCAATCTCTTTCCTAGTAAAATACTCCTATTTTGAGAATCTCAATGCATCATACCCCATCTGAACAATATAGAAACACTTGTGTTTTTTTTTCATAATTGTGTTACTATAATTTAAGAAATTTCTTAAACCTGTGAAAAATCTGTGTAGACAAAACTATATATAATTTTTAACTCTTTAAAATTGGCCGTGAAACACACAGAGCAATCCTATACAAAAAAAGCCTAATATGCTAAGTGTTCGGTAGGCCGGTCGGCCGCTCAACCAATCAAAGTGTAATATGCTAATGACAGTTGACCGGTTGACCAGTTGCTATGATGTGCACTGACCACCAGGGGAAGATGCTCCGACCAGTAGGTGAGCTTGCTGCTGCGATCTGTTCGATTGGGACTGAGCAAGATGGGCTGGACACACCCTGGAGCACTCCTGAGGTCCCACCCCAGCTGGCCAACCTCTCAAGTCCCTCCCCGGCCCAGATCATACACGGGTATGATCCCTCAGCCTGGTCTGCAACCTCTCACAATCTGGTCTGCACCCTCTCACAACCCTCTCAGGGGATGTTGGAGAGCCAGTTTCTGCCTGATCCCACAGGCCAGGCCTAGGGACCCCAATGGTGCATGAATTGGTGTACCAGATCTCTAGTGAAACCATAATGACTTTCAATAAATCCAGAATATGATTTCAGAGATCAATAGGGATAAATTTGATAGGACCTCATTTCTTCAGACACAAAATTAAGTAAAGCATTATTTCTAGGTTCTATTCAACTAAAAAATGTGACAAATGTGGAATCCCAGGGTTGCTCATAAATCATCTACCTCTGATGGCCCCTCTCAAAATTCTAGCTGCCATTAGACAGACAAAGTAAAATATGCTAATGAGGAAAACTTCTTAGCTCCTTAAATTCACAAGAGAGAGGCATCAAGATTTTATCTCTAACAGCCTTCACATTATGGTGTTATGGGAAGCCTTAGTTCTTTCATTTCATCTCACTTGTCCTCTCTCAGAATGTATTTAAACTCCTACTTAGCGTTTGAATTTCTAACTCAGCCTTCTATTTCAGCACTGTCATTAATCTACTTACATTTTTTTTTCCTGATGCAGTCCAGGGATCAATCTCTTTATTATATTTATTAATCATGAATGCCATGATTAATATTTTAAGAAAAAGAGCAACTCAACTAACCAAATGAAAACAATAAAAACAATCAACTTGCTGTAATAAGATTAATTAAAAGATATTCTTTGAATTAGTAAAATAGAAAATAGCACTGTAATGTTCTCAGAAAAAAAGAATGTCAAAATGCTACATTATCTTTGTTTTATATTTTAATTTATAATAGTCTTCTGATACAAAACACAGAAGATTTCAAATCCTTGGCTTTAATTCATGTATAGAAGTCCTATTTCTGCAATATTTATCCCAATAGGACCCTGCTAGCAAGTAAAAGGAAATGGACAAGTAAAAGGAATTGAAATAGCAGCTTCTTCCAAAATTATAAAGCCAGCATTTCACAGTTTTTGCCTGTACAAAGTCGAAGGTACCACAAATATTATTAAAAATGCAAGCCAAGAAGCACTTGACAAGACAGTTTAATACTTACTGTTTTGGGTGATAATTCCAAAGTCTGTGCATAAGTATCTGCTTCTCTGAATATTCTCAATTAAGAAGAGAAAAACTGCAATTTTCTTTGATGTTAAAATTTATTATGGTAGTATTTTATTTATTTTTCTTTTGAAATGTCCAAAATATAAATGAAGGCTCAAATTTTCTATTTCTAATGAATGAATAGAAAGACTTTAATTTAGATAATTATGGCCGTAAGCCATTCAAAGAATCAAACACGTAATATATACACATTTCCCCTAAACAGCTTCTCCTATTTAGATAAATAGGCTAAAAAAATGGACAAATATATTTAATTTATTTTAAACTTGTTGAAATAAAACTTTGAGTTCTCCCAAGATTTTCCCCCATTTTAATACAAAGAGGATTTCCTGTCCTCATCAGCAAAATCTTACCTATGAAAATGAAATGAGAGGATGTAGAGAAAGCAACAGTCATTAAGAACTTAACAACCTGGCAGGTATATTCTTAGACACTTTTGCAAATGTCATATCAAGGAGATTACTGTAACATAATGAAGGGCCCTGATAGAAAACACAATATTTTCTGCTCAATTGTGTTGGATTTCTTATAATCCATGGTTTAATAAAAGTATTTGCTAATCCTTTGATTACTACAAATGAGGTGCCTGCGCAATTTGAAAGTGTGGTCACTGAATGCAATATGGAGACTGCAGCTCTGTTTTTCCAATCCAGCTACTCTTCAAGGCCCAACCCCTGAGCCCAGGCTTCTGTGTTTGTTTCCTCTAGTTACACAGACAGCGTGGGCCAGCTTGATTTCTCTCCCAGATGCCTGGTTTTGCTTCTTTTCCCACTGCAAACTGAAAAGTCCAAGTCATTTGCATTCTAATCCTATGCCTGGCCAGGCATCACAAGTCAGCCACATTCATCAGAGAAGTGGAAGAGAGAAAGGACTTATTTTTATATCCATATGTGCATCATGGAGTTACCAACTTTTGCTAAGTCATTAAGAACTATTTTCTCCCTGCCTTTCTCTCATTGCTCTATTAGGTTTGCAGCCCCAAGCTCCTATTGTCTCTTAGCCTCTTAGTACCATCCTCATTTCCAATCCTCTAACCTATCCATCACTTCCTTTGCCTTCAAAGCTTAAAAAATACAGATTCAAGAAACAAGCCCTTAGATTATATCCCCGCCCCCAATACAGATAAGGAACCATCAAATGAACAGAATTGATTTCGACCTTTCAAATGATCAGGGGTGCTTAGCATCTAGTTCTATTTTCATTATTGTGTTTCTGTGTACTTTGTTATTTTTAACCACAGATTATTATATTAAGGTTAAATACAAAAGTAAGAAACTTTGTTGTAAAGGCCTGAACAGAAACACTTGATTACTCTTGTACAGAGGAAAGATCATCAGCCTGAAGCCCCAGTTTTAGTCCCAGCTCATTAAGTGGTTCTCAGCCTTCCTAATGCCGTGACCCTTTAATACAGTTCCTCATGTTGTGATGACCTCCAACCATAACATTATTTTCGTTGCTACTTCAGAACTGTAATTTTGCTACTGTTATGAATCATCATGTAAATATCTGATATGCAAGATGTATTTTTATTGTTACAAATTGAACATAATTAAAACATAGTGATTAATCACAAAAACAATATAATTGTATATGTGTTTTCAGATGGTCTTAGGCGATTCTCAACCTGTGGGTTGTGACCCCTTTGGGGTCGAAGGACCCTTTCACAGGGATCGCCTAAGACCATCGGAAAACACATATATAATTACATATTGTTTTTGTGATTAATCACTATGCTTTAATTATGTTCAATTTGTAACCATGAAATTGGGGGTCACCACAACATGAGGAACTGTATTAAAGGGTCGCGGCATTAGGAAGGTTGAGAACCACTGGTGAAGGTCATTTGACTGTCTGGTCTAATTAGCATATTACGCTTTTATTTTTATAGATACTCTGAAAAACATATATGAGGGTAGAGAGATTTTTATCTTTTTCTCTACTATATCTCAGAATCTGTCACCAGAGGGCACAAACTATGGCATTTGGTAGAGATTTTGTAATGAATACATAAATACCAACATATACCCAACTATCTTTTTCCAGAGATGCACTAATTTGAAATTTGAAATAATTCAAACATCATAAATAAATTATATGATGTCTTTTGATTGAACAAAAATCTGATTCTTTGTAAAATCTCTGAATTTTATAAATTAAAACAAAAAGTAAGAGTTCATAGTTTTAAAAATTAGTCTTCTGTAAAAGCTCTAAGCATTTAAGACATTTTCTTATTCCAATCATTTGTAGAATTATTTTGTATTTAGTTTAGTATATTAACCTGTAAAACTATTTTTCTTAGCATTATATTTTACCAATGATAACTTTCAGCTAAGTTTAGAGGTATAATATTTTGAACATAATATGTTTTAAAATATTGTGGGGTTTTTTCACTCACTAGCTTTCTTCATTGTTCTGTATAGATTAAAAGCCTTGGATATAGCATATCAGTCAGTGGCCCTATATTTCTTATATCA